GAAAAATTCACCTTATGAGCTGAAACTGGTAATTTAGTCAAGTCAAAAACAAACTTCTGGACTCCATATCACTTGAAATGCTTTACTAACCCATAAAATATCATTTTTATGAAATTTATTAGGTAAAGTATACTTCAGTTGATTTTTTAAAGTTCTTTTTTTCTTCTATAAATTGTATTAAGGTTTTTAGATGATTATGAAGATTAATCATTTGTTCATAAATGTATGGACTTTAAATTGTGAGTCTCTTGAGAATCTGTAAGAAAATGTTTTAAATGCTTTCACTCTCTGCTATCCAATTATAACAAAGCTAAATTTAGTCAGATTTTGGTTTGTCCTCATCTGCACAATGATGATAATCTCTAATTTGGACTTTCCAATATAAGCATTGTTATGAAATCGTCTGTAGTCTAAGATTGCTTAGAAAAGGCAAAAATAACCTTAATTCTTGCAAATCTGAACAACAATATGCAGCATAGAAAGAAGAAAAGGCTCATTGCATAACAACTCAGCAGAACAGTGAATACCCAAAGGCTCCTTCCATGGAGTTACCCAGCCCTGAAAACAATTCTCCTTTATTCAAGCACACTTAAAAAACAAAATCCAGAAAACTGTAACCCATATTAAAACTTTCATAAGCGATTCTGGTATAGACCACACCAGGAGCAGAGAAAGTTGGTATTTGTATTTAACAAATAAGAAAAGTATAGGTCACACTTATATCATCAAATGATTAGACTTTTTGACTATATTAGGTTTACTGGATCACCTTTATCACTTAATACAGAGATCTTCCTTGCAGCATAAAGTCTTGCTAAAAGTTATAAAGTTCATTTCTGTAAAACCCAAGGAAGTCAATGAGCCCTGGTCCAATAACCAAGTTACCTCTCTTGTCAAGAATGCTTTATGCACATGTACTCATGTACATATACCCACCCTATGTAGTAGTTTTACTATCAATTTCTGATACATCATCTTCCATTCTCTCATCTAAAATAAAATTACTTTCCTTACCTGACTCAATCAATAGTGTATTTTAATCTCCTTTCTTCCCTTGTGTCTTATGCTCCATCTAAACCTTCATTAAGTAACCTGACCCTTTCTGTCTTCAGAGTATTGAACACTAACTTATTTGAAACCACAGTATACAGTATAAATTTGGGAACTATACTTTAATACCTCAAGCAGTTACAGAAAAATATACATTATAAAAGATGAAATAGCTAATTTAGCATGAAGTCAATATAATGAGGTATTGTAATGTTTCTATTGGACAGAATTTGGTAAGTCTTCTTTTCTGTTTTCTTTTTTCCCCTCTCAAGCAGAATTATTAAGCAGAAATTGTCTTTATATTCCTCTTAAATTTCTATTTCTTGCCCCCTTTTTTCTCTGTTTGATATCATCATAGGTATCATAGGTATATCTATCAGATATTCATCAGATATCTTCCAAAATTGTATCCCAGTCAATGAAAGATTCTTGCAAAGAAAGGGTTTTTAACAACTGCTCTGCTGCACTTAGCAGCATAAAATTTATTATTCTTTCAAATATTCTTGTTTTCTAGAGAACTTCATCCATTTAAGAGGCTTTAAAATTTTCTTATAGACTTTAGGCCCATGCTCACTATGTAACCACTTGATTTGAATAAATATGAACTTTAAAATTAAAAATAAAATGAAGTTTGGCTAACATCTCAAAATAACATTAATAAGTTTTTTTATTGCCTGTTAGCTCTAAGTAAAGTAGTATTATTAATAAGGATCATCATTCTTAGTCTTCCATAGCCAAGCGGATTCTTTGGAAGATACTTCAATAGGACAACAGCCATGAGTTTAGGATACAGGTCTGAATTTATCCAAGTATAACCTCATCTGTTCACTCATTGCATATTTACTGTGCCTCAACTATGGTGACAGGTATGGGGCTGTGAGCAAAATAGAATGTATCATCTCCCTATTCACAAAGAACCAGAGTTAGTGCAGGAAATGACATTAATCAAATAATTGCTCTTATGAACGTACACTTATAAACTGAGATGGGAGTGTCAAGAAAGACAGTGGAATTCTGTGAGAAACTATTATAAGGAATTTGACTCCAATAGTGGGTCAAGGAAAGCTCAAAAGTGATATTTAAGTAGAAATCTGAAGGATGACTAGGGCTAGCTGTTAATTAGGCAAAAGAAGTGGTGAGATGGTGTGGTGGGGAGCGCAGGAGGACTCTTCCAAATTGAAGGAAAAGCATGTGAAAATGTCCTGTGACAAGAGGTGTATTAGTTTCTTATTGGAGCTATAATATATTACCAAAAACTTAGTGGCTTAATACAGATTTATTATCTTACAGTTCTGGAAGTCAGAAGTTAAAAATGGATCTTATAGAGCTAAAATTAAGGTTTTTTTGGAGGCTTTCATGAGGAATCTGTTTCTTTGCCTTTTCCTGCTTCTAGAGACTGCCTGCATCCCTTGGCTTCTGGCCTCTTTCATCCACATTCAAAGCCAGTGATAGCCAGTCCAGTCTTTCTCATGATACCTTTTCTTTGGTTCTCTCTTTTCTGCTTCTCATTTTCACTTAGGACCCTTGAGCCATCTATAGAATCCAGGATAATCTCCTCATCTCAAAGTTCTTTATTTAATCACATTGGCAAAGTCCCATTTTCCATGTAAGGTAACATATTTATAGGTTCCATGGATTAGGGCAGTGAACATTTTGGGAGAGCCATTAATATAGCTACCATGAGAGAGATTATGTATCATTTATGAACTGAAAGAAGGTCAGAGTAGCTGGGTGCAGAAAGGGAGAAGAAAAGTGGTACTGAATGAGGCTGGGGAGGTGGGCAAGGACCACACTATATGTAACATAACATACCATATCAAGGGTTTTGATCTTTATTCTAAGAACCCTGGGAAGCTATCTATAGAAGTAGTCACAGATTAGATCTTCTATTTTAAAATATTCTTCTGGCTACTGGATAGAAAATGTATTTTAAAACAGCAGAGGTTCAGGAAAAAGATGATGGTGACTGCAACAATAGATATTCTTATGATTATTTTTTGGATTAATGAAGTCATTTGGGTTTTTTACTTCCTAACTGGGTGATTCTATAACTTTGGCTAAACATCTTTCTGGTAATTCTATGGGAAAGATGAAATGTTATGATGCACTTGCCATTTATACAGAAACAGTCTCAGGCATGATAAGACTCTTTGTATTTTATTGCTTATATTATTAATTATTGTGTATAACTCCATGCTAGGAAATTAGACAACTCCAGTAATTTTATGATTTACTGATGATTTTATGGAAAAATTAAAATGATTATAGCCAAAAAATTTTCTATCTTAAGAAGAAATAAAATTCAAGATGTAGAAAACCTGAATAGATATTAAGAACTCTTATAAACACTGCAAGGGGGAAGAGAATTAGAAAATGAGGCAATAGAATGGACAGGATTTAAATCATGTTAGATCTTGGAGCTTATGCTAAGAATTCTGGCTTTAACTATAAATAAAATTGTGAACCTTTGGAGAGTTTTGCGGGGCTCTGTAGTCTAACTTGGGCATTACAACTAGCCAATACTTTGAAAATAGACAGATCATAGGGGGGTTAATGTGGAGGGATAGAGGCCCAGGAAAGACTATGACAATAACCCAGAAAAGGCTGACTCTAGTTTAGACCAGGATGGTAGCCTGAATGAGGCGGGGGAAGTGGTTGGGTTTTTTTTATGTTTTGAGGGATTTCTGATGGATGTGAGAAAAATAAAGTTGTCAAGAATGACTCCCAAGTTTTAGCCTGAGTAACTAGAAAGACGGAGTTGTCATCAATGGAGATAAGGAAACTGATTGGGGATGCAGGAGATCAAGTATCTCAGTTAAGAACATAGAGAATTCTGGTAGACCCTCAAATTGGAGTTGTTCAGTAAGCAATTGAATATGAGTTTGGAGTTTAGGGAAAAGGTCTGAGCTGGAGATACAAATTTGGGAGTTATTGTATATAAATAGATTTAAAGCTTTGAGCCTAGATGAGATCACCAATGGAGAATGTAGAATATGAAAAGCTCCACAAGGACTGATGCCTGAGACACTTAAGCATTAAGAAGTAGGAAAGAAGATTAAGAATCAGCAAAGATGGCTGAAATGGAGCAGCTAGTTAGGTTAGGAGGCAAACCAAAAAAAAAAACAAAAACATGGTGCCATGGAAGACCTACCTTTTTCTTCTCTAACGTCTACTGATCTTTCAGATCTCAGTCGGGTGATATTTTATACCCTTGACTTTGTTATACACTTGTCTCCTAAGTGTCTCCATAGCATCCTGCCTCCACAACATCTTAGTTTTTTTTCAATTATATTATAATTGCCTGTAATTACTCATCTCATTCTGTAAATTGTAAGCGACCTGAAGAAATCAGTGTCTTTCACTCACAAAAAAGTTTAGCACAGTACTTGACACGCAATGACTACTGAATATAAGTTGGTTGAATTGAATTAGTAAAGTTAGTACATACCTTCTGGTTACAGACAGATTGCTAGTGTGATAAGAACAGTCTCTACTAGGATTATCTATGCCACTAATACCACACATATACGTATTTTGTTTACTTTTCTATGTACCCACCTGGAATTCTTCAGCACAAACTTGTTGGTGTGTCTCATGGTCTTGATTTAAGTAGAGAGGGAAGAAGGAAACCAATATTTATATGTATATGTATATGGCAAGCATACATATCAAGCATGCCTTTTTTATGTGAGCTCATTTAAGCCATTAGTCCTCCTCACAAATTTGGGAAGAAAAGTATGGTTACCTCCACTTTACTTTTTTTACTTTATATGTCTATTACATGTAGACACAGGCATACAAACTTGTATATAGATATATAAAGTAATATACATATACAATTATATATATTATAATTATACACACATATATATACACACACATATATAAAAATTACTGCCTGAGCAAAATAAAACAAAAGGCTATTTGTAAAAGACAATTATGTTACTTACAGGAAAGTATAGAAGCAGAGACCCAAAAAGAATTGTTTCCAACAGGATAAGGCCTGATGCCCTGATGCTCTAAAAAAAAAAAAAAAAAGAGAGAGAGAGAGGGAGAGAGAGAGAGAGAGAGAGAGAGAGAAAGAAGAAGTCATTGTTTATTTACATTTCTAGAAATGGAAGAACTTATGCTATCGTGACAACGCCTCCACTAGTAAATGAACATTGGCTAGTATTTCAAAAGTGAACTTAACTGAAACATGCAAAAAGATCGACTATAAAAGTGGTAGTGTACTTCATGATACTGTCAGTGGCTTCATGGAATTTTGTTCTTCAAAATTTGAATCTGTGAATAATCTTAGCAGCTGGCAACACTTTTTAGAAGATCTTTCAATCTAAGAAGTTCACAGATACAAAATATCTTGCTTGTATTTCTGAAACATCAGCCACAAGTACATATTGAATGCTAACCCTCAACCATTTCACAAACACCTGCAAAATGGCTTCAGTGGATAAAACAGACATACACATAAGGTCTTGGCATTTCAGTAATATATATCCCACTATGTCAAAATAGATCACCCACGCTCACCTAACAGAGCTCCACTATGTGGATAATATAAATCACATTAAATAACAAAGATATTTCACCTTGTGAACATGTTTAAATTATTCTTAACTGAAAATTCATAAGAATAAGTTGATTTTTGAATAATTTCCTAATTACTTACAGTTTACTACATTTAAATATGCTTGATAATCTTAAGATATTTTGTTAGACTCAAATAGCCTTATCTTTCCTAAGCAAAATGCCTGAAATTGTGAACAAAAATTAAAAGACAAAATAATTTTGTATTCTAATAAAAATTTTGTTTCAGTGAGTTCAAGTGTCAATATCAAGTAAGTATATTAATTGAGAATACAAACATAAAAATAGATTATTCTAGAATACCCATGTTTTCACTAAATGCAATGTGTAATATACACAAAAATTACACATGATGCAAATATATTATCCTCACAGGAAAATAATTTGAAGTAGTACCAACTGATTTTGCAACAAAAAAAAGATGCTTAAGCTGAAAACCGAAGCCACAAGAGTACACTGCATTAAAACAAGTCAGATAAAAACAAAACAAAAAAACCTGCACACAATGTCAGATAAATGACAGGGAAAGAAAATTATAATCTCTTCAAAACACTGCTAGGACATTGTTAGAGGAATACTTTATGTAATCCCTCAAAAGAACTCGTGGCTTTCATTAATCTAAGAATTTGCAATGGAGAAATAAATTTAGTCAGTGAACAGACTTGATTATTCAAGTGGCATCTCACTATTGGTCTTTATTTTAGCTAGCAGATGCTTTTAGTGAAAAGAAAATTTCTATCAGCAAGCCTTTAGATGGGTTTTGGCTGGTAAAATTTCTAAAATGGCAAATTATATTCATACCTAATTATGAATATCAATTTTTCTAAACTTTATGAAAATATGACACTAAAAGTGAGAGTTCAAAATATTAATACAAGACTGCTTGTAAAACAATCTATGCAATACTGTTTAAAGATTTATTTATTTATTTGAGAGAGAGAGAGAGAGAGAGAGAAAGAGAGAGAGAGCAAGCACACAAATACATGAGCAAGGGGAGGGGCTAGAAGGAGAGGGATGAAGAGAATATTAAGCAAATCTCCACTGAGTGCAGAGCCCCACACTGGGCTTGATCCCTGACCCTGAGTTCATGATCTGAGCAGAAATAAGAGTTGGACACTTAACTGACTGAGCCACCAGGCGCCTCTCTAGGCAAAATTATGAAAAAACAAACAAAAAACGGGATATGAAAAGAAGCTGCGAGGCTTAATGGAACAGACAGACTTTGGAGTTCTCTTCATCTCAGTTTGAATTATGAAATAATCACTGAGTAGGCCACCTTGAACTTCAATGTCTTCATCCATAAAATGGGTATTTTAATGTTTACCTGATTAAATCTGAGAGGTTTAATAAAATATGAAGTATACAAAATGGCTAATATTATGCTTGATTCTTGGCAAGTAGGTATGCATTCTTCAAAGTAAAAAACATTAAGGAGGGCACATGATGAGATGAGTATTGGGTATTATACTACATGTTGGCAAATTGAATTTAAATAAAAGTAAAATCTTCAAAACAAAACAAACTAAAAAACAGCACCAGCATAATGAATTTGAAATTCACAGATGTATATATCAGTAGCAGTCAAATTTATTTTTAATTCTTGGGATCCAAATGACCTCAGAAGAGCCAAAAGTAGGGGTAGAGAACCCAAGAGGCTTTTTGTTGTTGTTGTTCCTTTTTTTTAGGACCAGTAGTTTCTTAGCTGCTTTACAACCACTGCTATCACATACCAGTGGTAGTGTTGCATATATTCTCAGAATAAATCACTTGTTTTCTTTCACTTGGTAATGTTGAGCAATCTTCTCCATTATGTTGTTCCTGACTAAGCAGAGAGGCCCATAATTTCAAATTATTAATTGGAATTCCAACAAGTGGCTCCATAATCAAATGGAAGGCCTATTCAAAATGTGCACTTTTCCAAATATCCTTGGGCTGAGTTGGCTTCATGGCCTCACAGAGTGAGTATGTATCTGGTAGGTGGGACTTCAGGGACAAAAAAGAAACCTCATGCTCCCTAAAACATTTCCCCATCATCTTATTGGTACTGGAAGTTCTCTGAACTAGAAAGAAGCTTTTTATTTTGTACTTGGTGCCAAGGATTCATACACAAGTGCTGTAAGTAAGAGCCTGACTTAGTTTCAACGTGTAGAACAGAAATCTATTCCTTGTAGTCTAAGTGATAGGATGAGGAAGGAAAGAGGAAGGATTGATAAATGAAGATGATGCAGCTACTGTGGAAAACAGTATGGTGGTTCCTCAAAAAGTTAAAAATAGAACTACCCTATGATCTAGCAATTGCACTACTAGGTATTTACCAAAAAAATACAAAATTACAAATTCAAAGGGATACACACACCTTTATGTTTACATGCATTATCTACAATACAAACTTTGGAAACCGCCCACGTGTCCATCAACTGATGAAAGGAAAAGAAGATGTGGTATATATAACAGAATATTATTCAGCCATAAGAAAGAATGAAATCTTGCCATTTGTAATCATTCATGTGGATGGGGCTAGAGAGTATTGCTAAGTGAAATAAGTCAGCTGGATAAAGACAAATACTATATGATTACACTCATATATAGAATATAAGAAATGAAACAAGAAAAGGGTAGGGGGAAGAGAAAGAGGCAAACCACAAAACAGACTGATAGTTACCAGAGGGGAGAGGGTGAGTGAGATGAGTAAAACAGGTAATGGGGATTCATAAGTACTCTTGTTGTGATGAGTACACGATGATGTATGGAAGTGTTATTAAGTCACTATATTGTATACCTGAAACTAATATTACACTGTATGTTAACTAACTGGAATTAATATAAAAACTTTAAAAAAAGAAAAATGAAGATGAGCAAGGGATATAATGAGCAAAATAACAGAGCCCAAGGAAGAATGAATCTCCTTCACAGTTGTACTTAAGATAGAAATCGTGGTATAGAACCCTTTTAACCAGAATTGCTGAGAAACTCTGAGAAAACCTTATTGAAAAGATATATAATATAGCATTTAGTTAAAACACATACATACAAATCAACACCATATATTTTCTAGATATATATAAATATACCAGATACATACATGGAAAATATATACCAAGCTGATAACAATGATTTTGTTTTTCTGGAGAAGTGCATAGATTTAGGGATAGATCAAAAATATTAAAAAATATTTTAATTTCTCTAGAGATGCAGTCATGCATCATGTAATATGCATTTTAATAATTAAATCAAGTAAAATTAAAGAAAAGTAACTTAAAATGTGCCAATTCAACTATTAGAAAATTCCACCACTAGGCATCATCATAATATGCCAAGAAGTCTAAATGAAGACTTTCTCAACTAATATATACTTAATAAGTTTTTATTCATTACTAACTTCATGCATAAAATTAACAAACCAGAGTTTTATGATCCTTTAAGGTAATAGAGCTGGGGGAGTTATTATTGAGCCTAACTCTCTTGTTTAGAATTTATAAAGCCTAATAAATATAATTTCAGATTTTACAGTAGAGGTCTGCAGATTTTACCTCACTCCACTCCATCCCTCCTGTCCCATTTGTTAAACTTTCTGAACTGACTTATGAAGGTTTGTAACAAGTACCAAGCCTGCATACTAAAGAAAAGAGCTAAGCCTATTATACCAATTTTATTAAATTATATCAGTCAACTTCTAAATTCCATAATCCTTGGATGCAAAATAGAGAGGCATAGGATGAAGCATACTTGCAGTTGTCACAAGATTTGCTCATGATATAGGCATCCAAAGGAAGCTAAGTCACTGGAAATAATAAGGCGATGAGAATAATGCTGAAGTCTGATTTTTTTAAAAAAACAAAATGGTTTGTCATTTTTTTCCTTGATTCTATAAGGACTAACTACTTCATTTATATTTTAAAAACATTTTTAGCCACTGGGGAAATAAATGTATATCTTGCTAAACCAGTGCAGCTATTCTGAATTATAGCTGATTTCTTTAGTCTCATAGCAATTAAAGTTTCTTTCTATTACAAAAGGAATCTCTGAACATGAAGGTATTTTTACACAGCTGTATCTCAGAATGAATGATGAAAATATAATAAAGCAATAGAATTAGATTCTGAAAAGAATGAACTGGCATAAGTTTGGATCATAAACCAAGACTATAAATCTGTATCATTTACAAAAAGAATTAGCCATGCAAGCAGATTGACTTCTTCTATTTCTTCAGATAAATCCATGGGCAGGGAGATTACAAATAAACAACTGATGTAACAGTTATACAATAACAAATTGGAAGCAAGATGTAAAAGTGGCCTTAAAGAGAATCCTAACATTGAGAATAGGAGGACTCTATTTTTGAATAATTTTATTTACAGTTATACAAATAAATGAGAACAGATCACATTTGGTTTGATAGACTACATGCAATTACTTTGTCTTAAGAAGATCT